GCTCAATTGTAACTATTATTTGATTGGTTACTTTTTTTTCCGATCCGAACAATCCGATCTAGAACTGAACAGGGCTAGTATACCCCAAATCATTTCTATTTTTTTTTAAGTGATGAATTGATACAGTAAAAAAATTTTTAAGAAAGCTTTTTTGATTTTTGATTTTTCAAAATGTCCGAAGAATATTATCCCGGTTATACGTGTAAGTTCTAATTGCATAGTGGCCCCAGTATTCTCTTTTTGCCACTTACTAACCAACCATCTCTTTAGCCATTTGTTCTTACATAAGAAATCGTAAAGAGAAATGTTCCTTTCGCGAGTTCGTAGACCTTTACCAGGAAGTGATTATAGAATCTCCACCAAATACTGATAACTGGAATGGTATAGAAGTTGCATGGAAAACGAGATTCTTAAGAAACATAAAGGATATTATTCCTGAAAAGTACGATGATATATATACAAAGGTTCTGTATTCTTCTTTTTTTCTAATATAAATAAAAGGGAGCTCTTGGTCAATGATCGGTTGATTAAGGGTATTCAGTGATCGGCTGGCTCAAGTGATGGTGGTTGCGCTCTTGGTCAATGATCGGTTGACTTTGGAGTATCTAGTGATCGGCTAGGCGCCATCATTGCGTTTTCATGGGCTTCTCTATGATTGATATTCAAAAAATATTTTTACTAATTAATTATTTTCCATAACAGGTGAAATCAGAAACTTCGAATAAGTCTTTAATGTATTATTGGCAGAATATTGTCAACGAAAAAGAACAAGTAAGTCAAGATTATTGCAATTTTGTTTGCTCTATTACTGGTACATTTATGGATTTCATTCATTATATTTTGATAAACAGAAATCCGTAATCAATAATCATATATCTGGTAGTCTAAAAATATTGGACGCCACGGCTAAATATAATGCAAATACAATCGTTTCGAAAGTTTCGAATCCTCGAGAGATAGATACAGATGCTTCATTACCAAATGAACGTTTAGAGGTGTGCATTTTTTGCTAGAAGTTGTGTGAATCGACAAAATGTTGGCTGTCAGATATTAATTTTTTCTTTGTATTTAGTCCAATGAACATTTCATGCCCGTCCGTGAACCAAAGCGGAAAAAGCAGGTATCTATTTCGAAAAAGATTAGGATATAACAATAAAAGTCTTTTGATATAAAATGTTGCCTTGAAATCTATGCGACCTTGTTTTTAATGACTACTTTGATATCTATAGAATAAAAAATCTAAGGAACAAGCTAACTCCAAGAGGGTCAGTATGGAATGCATCCCTGTAATGATAAAGATTTGTTCATAAAATTTATTTTTGTAGGACGAGGTCGATGTTTTTTTCCAAAGTTCACAAACGGAATGCAATGATGATGACAACTCCAAATCTCGAAAGATGCATGTGTATGATTACGAAAAATTTGAAAAATCTTTCGCTAAATTGGATGATTCCAACAAGTGGACACTCACAACCGGAACCGTTGTGGAAGACGCTATTTATAAGTTCGGCCTACGTTGTAAATACGAACAGTAAGTTTATATGTAAATAATTTGCTTACACTCTTGAATTTCACTCACACTTTATCCCTATATAAAAAGTCTTGCTCATTCGTTTGTCTTGGACCCTGACGACGATACTTACCTGAAAGAAAATGTTTTCACCGAAAGCGAATTACGTGAAATTCGCCATTTTCAAGTCAAGGAAACGCCAATGATGCCTCTTGACTTGACTAAATATCTAAATAGCTTCAACCTTGTAAGTTTCATTTCTTTATTATATATCATATAACTTGTTTTTTTTTCTATTAACAACTGGTATGTTGTTTCAATAGAAAACCACTTCAGAAATTCGGAAACAAATATTTATTCCTGATAAAATAGATCAAGACTTCAATAGGTCAAGGGATTTTGATAGAGACTGGATTCGAAATACAATATATAATTTGTATGTAATAACTTCATTCATTTTAAGATTGGATACTAAGTTTGCACCCCAATTTCACAGATTGCAAGAATATGAGTCGAATACTTTAACGACGGATCACCTAGAACTTTGGATACTCGTTCATGTTTGGAGTTTCACCGATAAAGTTTTTAATGAACTTGAGGAAGTGAAAGTGGTCAGGTAAGAAACAAGAAACATCCGATTAGTTCTCAACTTTCCATGGCCTAAATAATTTTTGCAATAGAGGGGAGTCGTGTAGCCTGTCGTCATCAGCACGAAAAAATCGTGAAAGAACCGTGCCTGGAACAGCAGATATGAAACGAAAAGCGCTTGGAAGGAAAGGCGATATGATTATTCGTAAGATAACAGTTGAGTTTGGGTGTGCAGAAGCAGGTCGACAATTTGAGGGTGAGAATGGTACGAAGCTGTTGCGTGAAAGAGGCCTTAAAATGCCAAAAATGATGAAGGACATGTTCAGACACCTATGTGAAACTTTCAACCAAGATGATCATAAAACCCGCCAATTGGAAACGATTGGTTTCCTTCATGCTGGTATGTTCTTTTTACTTAACATTCATTAATCCCCCTTTTGTTGCTTACTTTGATCGCATTTTTCTAGGGCTCATGATGGTACTTCTGCGCCTGGACTCACCAGCTGGATATGTGTGTCGTGTGTCACGATCAAAATCTTTTTCTATCGCTACAAATATTAAAAAATTTGGAAAGACACTTCCTTTAATTTCTTTGACATGGAAGGCTAAAGTAAGTACTTGTTATTTTCAGTTCTGTCCTCCGTATCTGACAAACTTATTCTTGTAGAAAATTGTTGAAAATATGATCAGTTTGATTGAACAAACTAATGAAACCGATGAAGACCAATTACAAAGTCTACAAGATGTCTACGATATTACACCACTTTCACCACGAAAACGAAAAAAAGTAGACTTACCAACATGCTTGGACACTCCAACAAAACCGTCAAAGAGAGTCAAAGAAATCCCGCATGGTATGGTCTATTATTTTATTCTACTTTGTATGAAAAAGGATATGTCTATATATTTGTATTTTGCATTAGATCTGCTTGGACCACCACCACCATTTAACCTGCTACCAAGCATAGTATCTTGCCCAGATCCTCAGTGTGAGGGAGAAAATAAAGTTACTGCTAAATTTTGTTCAGATTGTGGAAAGCCATTAATGGAATGAATCACCTTATTGCACCTGTGAGCACTTATGCCGATTTTTCTTTAGGTATTGTATATGCTACATGTACTGGTGATGCTAGTATAGGAGTAAAAGTGAATGTTGGTATTGGTGTTGATATTGATGTCAATGTCAATATTATTACTATTATTGTTGTTGCTTCATGAATGTTTACAGCTTTTTTTTTAAATTAATTTTTCAATTTGTTGTGGGTGATGTGTATGCAAAATGTGCACCAAAAGAATGTTTATAGCGTTTGCTTTATTGCACGATCAATGTGTACAAATAAATCAAAATTTTTTCTTGGCAGAAACCGTTACCATTGGTAACAATCAAAATCTTAGCAAAATTATTTCTATGGTTTGAGTTAAAACTTTTTCATTATCAACTATAACGGCCTTGTCTAAGGAAGACATTAAATACGTAATTGTTAAGGTGCTTCGGGGATAGTTTAGTGTATTATGCCACATATTACAGGCCTGTGACTTGCATGTCCGGCAATCTGTTATAGTGTAAAAAAATAGTGTTCTGAAAACATATAATAAAGTTTAGCCAGTTCGGTCATTTATTTTTTTAATTGATACTGGCTACTGCATGATTTTTTTGATTGATACTGAGACTGCCAGATTACTGCACCTGTGTCATCTAATTTTCCCAGAATATAATTGGCCGATCATCTCATGATTTATAGAAACTCGCCAGCTCCTGGAACATTCCTAGAACTATCGAGGAACTGGGCCGTAGGCGCTTCGCACAGGGAACTAGGGGAGATCTTATGTGATACGATATACAGTACATCCACAAACTGTGTATATGCAAGATATGATCCTATATAAATCTCCGATAGGCTTATATTCGAATAAAAATGAATTTGGTTTTATTATAGTATAATATTGCTAAATCAGCTAAAATCGATAAAAAACACATATCAATAAAATCGTTATAATCTGTTATAATCTACTAAAACACTATTATGGATTTAGATAGTAGAGCACAATATAAGCTAGTTTCTGTAGGCTATAGTGATGTAAACTTCAAAGAATATAGAAGAATATTAGAAGCATTATGTCCTTTAGATGAATGATATGATCATGAAACACCAGAAATGTGGTGCTCCCGTATTTGTGATCCATTTAGAAAAATATTTAAAGAGAATCCAAGAATTCTTTCTGGAAATGGATACATTACAATGTGTGAAAAATTAATTGAAAGAAGTGATAGAGTTCATGGTCTTCCATTAAATTACATATATTGTAGTGTATGCGACTCCTTAGTTTTCATACCTGAAAATGGTTTTAATAGAGCTAATTACTATCAAGATAGCCACTTGAAGAGATGTATTTCTGGAAATACTATTTCGAATGAGCACGCAAAAGAAAAGAAATTCTCAAATCTATTGATATAAGGGAATTTCAGATCTGGCAATATAAACAATACATATTACAAGAAGAGGCTAAAATTAATTGTCTCTATCTAGAGCTTTTCTCCCAATCTATCTCACACTCAGAAAAGAATAAATTGGCATCAGTATCATATGATCATGATTCGAATTTTACGACTAACTATGAAAATTATACACAATATAAAGTAACAGTAGAAAAAAATACTATGCTACAGTAGCGGTCATAAGTATCCGACCGCTCGAGATCATCCAAAATTATTATATAACTACCCCTTAAATTTTCCAGAAATATAATATAACACAATACATGATCACCT